GAAAATATTTGGTTCGTCCTATTTTACAAAATAGACTTACCTTAAGCTTGTTACACTTTATTACACTTTATCCGAGTCTCCGGAATTATGAGCCTAAACTATTTAACCAATTTCTGTTTAAGAAATGTCGTAGACTCTGCTTATTATACAGCTGCTGCTGGTTTTCAATTGTTCTTCTTTTGAAAATGGTTTTATCACCTTACTACCGCCACTATTTATGATCATTTTGAATAGAAAAACACATGCAAAAATACGTTCACGCCAGAAAAATATTGCGACGTAAATTTATGTTGTGATGCAAATAAACTCGCAACCTAATTCGCCGAAAATATTTGTGTGTGCTGTTATGCGGTGAATACGTCCACACACGTACACATTAAGTACCTCACGAACAAATTTGTGTCGAATGCGACGCATAATGTAAAATTTTTACGGAAATTTATCAATTCCGTCTGCTATCGATTCCAGTGGACATATTAGTACGATAATTTATGATTACATTTAAATACCTTTGTACATATTATTTCCGCCGGCTACTGACCACGAATTAATGTAAATAGAGTAAATTGATCTAAAACCTCGAATACTGAATTTTGTTGAATAAATTACAATTTACAAAGAAACTCATTAATTGATTCACTTGGGAACGATTTTTTGAAAATTCCACCCCTAACATAGGTATAATAGGAGGTGAATGTCGAAATTTTTGTGAACGGAAGCCACTAAATCTGACCAAAATGTATAATGTTCACATACACTAAAGTGTAAAAAAGAAACGGACAGTCGTGGGTTTATATAAATAGTATATACTTATAATATATGCATTACATGAATACAAATATATTATATATTTATTTCAATAAAGTTTGGATATCATCGCATCGGTTCCATACCGTAATCTATGATAAAAGAGTCAACTTGTAAAAAGTTGGGTGAAATCAATACATTTTTCACAAGCAAAATGGTTATTTTGGCAGAATCGATGTATGTCCATTTCTACTAGTGTGGACGCAGCTTAGCATCTAATATAATATCTATTATCTAGCAAACAATAAATAAATTAACAATTTGGTATACCACTTATTAAAATATTATGTATTATTAAAAAAAATGTATAATATTTAAATATTGGGTAGATACTTAAAACGACTTGTTTGTTGCCAATTCCAGATGTCCATTGTGTAACGAGTTGATCATCAGTAAAATGCTTAGAACAAATAGCGGAATTAATGTATATTTTTCAATTTTTGTGAAGCATCGTTCCAATCTTTGCTTACAGATATACATTAAATTCTCGTCTGTATCCTACCTTCCCAACATTCCACCAACAAAAGTGGTGTACCCATGTACGAAATATGTCCGTCCTTTTTTAGCGTGTCGTGAGCTATATCTTAGTTACCAATGTTTCTTATTTGTGGGTAACTAGGGTCGTATTACATTAGAGCAGTGGTCGGCAACCTTTTTAGACTCCCGGGTCACATTCATAAATTAAAAAAAGTTCGCGGGCCAGACAAAAATAAAAATTTTGTATTCCAAATTATTTACTAAGAACAAAAATAACTGTTTAAAACTTTAAAATAATAGATTAATAGAACATAAAAATAAAATTACAGTTTTTAATAATATAATTATAATATAAAAGTATGGAAATTACAACTGCTTAATAGGCTTAATGTGATTTTTGTTGTTGAATATTGTTTATTATTTTTTCGATTTCCACATTAAAATTACTTGTGCTGGCTCTAAGTACATGGTGGAGATGGTCATCAGTTAAGCGTGAACGGTATGGATTTTTAATTTTTTTCATATGAGAAAAAGCCTGTTCACATATGTAAGAGGATCCAAACATACTGAAGTATTTTGCAGCTATATTTTTAATTTTTGAAAATGATGCAGGAAGTTCAGCGAAAAAAAGTAAAGGCGATGCTTCGAATGAGTCTTTTAAGATACTTTGTGGCTGCAAATCTATTATTTCCATTAGAAGCTCAACAGATATATCTTCAACATCAATATTAAACGGATTGGCGAGTAGTTGAAAATACTTGAAATCTTGAAATCGATTATTAAATTTTTGTTGAAGTATCGAAATAGCTTCAACAAATTTAACTGTTGATAATGAAAATTCTGACGATTACAAAAGTTTTTTACAATTAGGAAAATGTGTTAATTCATTTTTTTCAATGTGAGACCGTAATATTTACAATTTTATTTCAAAAGATTTAATATGAAACCACATATCAGGAATAAGTTAATTTTTACCTTGTAGTTTTATGTTGATTTCATTTATATACTTCAATATGTCAACACAAAAAGCCAGTTCAGAAATCCAAGTTTGATTTTCAAGCATGGAAGCGTCCTTTCTTTTTTCTTTCAAAAAAATTATATATTTCCTGACGTAACATGAAAAACCTTTCAAGTACACGACCTCTGCTTAACCATATAACTGCGGTGTAGTACAATACATCGCCATAGTCTGCATTAATTTCAATCAAAAAATTTTGAAATTGCATATGATTCATTCCATTGCTTCCTATAAAATTGATAATAGATACTACATCTTTCATTATTGTATCCCACGACATAATTTTGGCGCAAAGTGCATGCTGATGAACAATGCAATGAAAAAATAGCGGTGGTGACAATTCTTTTAATTTCATTTCATTAATAATAATAGCTTGCAATCCAATATTTTTGCTCGTCATATTTCTCGCTCCGTCAGTGGTTACGTTAACTAGTTTATGTAATTGAAGATCTAATGAAGATATAACGTTTTGAAGTTGTAAAAAAATATCTTCACCTCGCGTCGTCCCCTTCAAAGTACTGACGGCGGCAATTTCTTCAGTTATTTCAAATGTTTCATTAATTCCTCGAATAAATACAATTAACTGTGCAGAGTCAACAATATCTGTACTTTCATCAAGTGCTAACGAAAATTATAG